TTATAGGGACTGCTTGGGGAATGACCATACCATTGATTCACACCTGTAGGAAAAATAACTTCAATTCCTTTTTTTCTTTTTTTTTTTTTTGAGACAGAGTCTTGCTTTGTTGCCCAGGTTAGAGTGAGTCCCATGGAGTCAGCCTAGCTCACAACAACCTCAAACTCCTGGGCTCAAACAATCCTACTGCCTCAGCCTCCCGAGTAGCTGGGACTACAGGCATGTGCCACCATGCCCAACTAATTTTTTCTATATATATTAGTATGGCCAATTAATTTCTTTCTATTTATAGTAGAGATGAGGTCTCGCTCTTGCTCAGGCTGGTTTCAAACTCCTGACCTCGAGCAGTCCGCCCGCCTCGGCCTCCCAGAATGCTAGGATTACAGGTGTGAGCCACTGCGCCCAGCCAACTTCAATTTCTTGAGTGCTCATTTATGTGACAGATGTGGCCATCCCAAGAGTGTGCTGGGATCAAAAGTCTAAGCATTTGCTGTTGGAACTCCATAAGGCAAATACGTCTCCTATAGGTGAAAAATAATTTACTAACATACTTGGTATATGTAATCCTCCACTTTTGATGTTTTTGGGTGCCTTCCTCCAACCCAGAGTCCCTGAAAGCAGGAACCAGGTCATGTTTCTCAACTGAAATAGCATCTAGCCCAGTGCTATTTCTGTATACATGCTTCAAGGCCTGCTGGGCTGTGAATTTAAGGTAGAGACCATGTCTCTGGACATTATTGTGATTCCTTAATGCCTAGCTCAGTGTCTGGCACATAATAGTCACTTCAATAAATTTGTGATGGGTGAATTCATTAATGGCAATATTGATAAGGATGACAGTGGGGACTGTGACAAAGGTTTTCTCACAAGCTGCCCTGTGATGTAAGGAATCTGCCTTAGCAGTACACAGCCTCCCCAAAGCTATGACTTCTTCATTGGAGGAAACAGGGGATGATCTCCAGATGAAGTCCTTCTCCTCCCACCATGTGCTTGCCAGGAGAAGCTATCAGTGATAGCGAAGGGAATAAGAGACAGCTGGCTGGGCATGATACCTAGTTAGGAGAAGAACGAGTTCTATGCGTGTCTGCTTCTCACTCCTCCAGCTGGGATCAACTTTACTGTCTTTTGCCAGCAACTTATCAGGAAAGACCATGACTTTATGGACTCAGAAGATCCATTTCTTCAGCTGTGTCACCTCCACTAGCTCTTTTTCTACTGTACACGTCCTAACTTTCTGGTACCTTGGCTTTGGAATAAAGTTTAAACCTTGTATCTTTGTTTGTTTGTTTAAGACAGAGTCTCACTTTGTTGCCCAGGCTAGAGTGAGTGCTGTGGCGTCAGCCTAGCTCACAGCAACCTCAATCTCCTGTGCTCAAGCGGTCCTACTGCCTCAGCCTCCCGAGTAGCTGGGACTACAGGCATGTGCCACCATGCCCGGATAATTTTTTTGTATATATATTTTTAGTTGGTTGATTAATTTCTTTCTATTTTTGGTAGAGACAGGGCCTGGCTCAGGCTGGTTTTGAACTCCGGACCTCTAGTGATCTGCCTGTCTCGGCCTCCCAGAGTGCTAGGATTATAGGCGTGAGCCACCGCGCCCCGCCTAAACCTTGTGTCTTTGGAACCACACACATTACTCTCCTTTCTCTGAGAGAAGAAAGCATATGTACAATATATCATTTTATCTTTTGAACAAGTCTGTGAGGTTGATGGAGCAGGAATGATTCTGACACAGAGGGGAAATCAGTTGCCCAAAGTGTTTTGAGAGTCTTCATCTCAGGGCTTTCCCTCTAACACACGTTATATCACTTAACCAATAAAAACCACTCATCTCCTAAGACTGAGAATTTACATGTTGAAGGGTCCTAAAATAGTGTAAGTTGTCAGGCAAGAACTCATTTCAAAAGACCAACTAGCTCATGCTTTTGCTGTCAGGCAGGGCCCATGGTCTAGAATTTGAGTGTTGGTTGAGAAAGTACTTGAGTCTGGAGTCAGAAGACCTGGGATGTAAGTCCTGGGTCCACCAATTACTAACTGGATGCTCTTGGGCAAGTCATCTAGCCTCTGTGACTTAACCTCCTGAAAAATGAGAACAGTAATATCTGCATTTTCCACCTTACATGCCTATTGTGAGAATTAAATGAAATGATGTGAGTGAAAGCAATAAAGCTTTCTAAACAAATGTTAATTTTAACATTTTGGTCAGATTTGCATCTTTAGAGATTCTCTCTTTTTTTTTTTTTGAGAAGAGTCTGGCTCTGTTGCCTAGACTAGAATGCTATGGCATCAGCCTAGCTCATGGCAACCTCTAACTCCTGGACTCAAGCAATCCTCCTGCCTCAATCTCCCCAGTAGCTGGGATTACAGGCACATGCCACCACTCCTGGCTAATTTTTCTATTTTTAGTAGAGATGGGGGTCTCACTTTTGCTCAGGCTGGTCTCGAACTCCTGAGCTTAAGGGCTCCTCTCACTTAAGCCTCCCAGCGTGCTAGGACTACAGGTGTGAGCCACTGTGCCCAGCCACTTTGGAGATTCTTTATAGAAGATATAAATAGTAATCTTTCTGTGTTCTTAAGGAAGTTTTACAAGCATAGAGATTAGGAGCTCAGCTCTGGAGTCAGGCTGCCTGAGTAACCTTGGGCATGTTACTTCTCTCTCAAGCCTCAATGAAGAGGAGATAATACCCATTTCACAAGTGTGATCTTGAATATTAAATGAGATAATGTATGCACTGTGCTTAACATGTACCTGACATGGAGAAAGTAATTCAAAGAATGTTAGTTGCTACCATTACTGATTTTATTAATGGCGATATGAAGCAATATGATGTGATAGAGATCTGAACTACGAATAAAAGGACTCACCCTTTGAACCTCAGTTTCCCTACCTGCACCACAGTAAGAATCCATGTTTTTCCTCTTTCAGATTGTCATGAGAATTTTTTTTTTTTTTGAGACAGTCTCACTCTGTTGCCTGGGCTAGAGTGCTATGGAATTAGCATAGCTCATAGCAACCTCACATTCCTAGGCTCAAGCAATTCTTCTGCCTCAGCCTCCTGAGTAGCTGGGACTACAGGCATGTGCCACCATGCCCGGCTAATTTTTTCTATATATATTTAGTTGTTCAATTAATTTCTTTCTATTTTTATTAGAGATGGGGGTCTCACTCTTGCTCAGGCTGGTTTCGAACTCCTGACCTTGAGTGATCTTCCCACCTCGGCCTCCCAGAGTGCTAGGATTACAGGCATGAGCCACCATGCCTGACCATGAGGATTTTTTTAAGTATATGAAGACTGAACTAGTTGAAATTAAAGAACAATATATATGCAATATTTTTTTTCAATTAATTTGAGTTTATAAAGACTGACTTTTTCTTCATTCCTCTCTGCCTTTAATTAGGTTGTTCTCTTTGCGGAAAAGAAGTACAGCGTTTCTTTAATCAATAAAAAAATGTTCAAATGTCAGATCTTGAAGTAAATCCTTCAAACTCACAACAGTACTTTCTTTGCAAAGAAAACTTTCCTTGAGTATGTTCCATTGCCTCAATTCATTCAGTGTATGTAGGCTAATTTTAATATTCAACCAACTCTAGAATTTCTACTTTGGGTATTATCTGCTTTCAATATTTAATCCCAGAATGACCTCTCCTTGCCTTGCAGTGTGCTCCCAGATTACCTCCTTTTCTCTGATTAGCTAGTATGGCTTCAGGGAATATCTTCCTTTTAACATTAAACTGGGCAAAAACAGAAATAGTAAGATAAATCTGTAGCAAGATCAAAAATAGAATTCATAGCTAAATATAAATCTGGAGGGAATTATCTAATTATTTGGATGGCCCCTTACCGCAGGCAATCCAGGGTTGATTGACGTTTGCTTTTTCCACATATAGAACAAAATCGTTAGCAAATACCAAGAGTAATATTTTTTTTCTTTTGAAGAGTAGAAATTTTTAGTAGTACCTTAATTTCTTTCCCAAATGCCTTTCTCTATATTATGGTATGTGATTTTCACAACTACGTGCATTCTCTTTGGGGACCATCCAGTCTCATTTTGACTTGTAGGTCAGAAAGCATTGAACTGGGAAGACCAGGATTTGCTAATGGAGTCACTGTGCAAACTCGGGCAAGTTTCTCAGCCACTTTGTTCCTTCCACTCTGCTGAGCTAGACTCGAATGGACGACTCTGAAGGGAAATTCCCCGCGCCTTTTCAGAGTCCCAATTTAATTTACAGGCTAGCAGCTGTTTTGTTAAGGTTGGATCAACACCAAGTAGGGACTTGGAAACGTGGAGAAAGACAAATGTGGGTGTCACATGAGGCAAGGTAGCCATTAAGTGCACAAATATAATGCAAATTGCATGCAAATGACATGCAAACTTAGCATTAATTTGTAGGATCTTAGTTTGGAGCTTGCAAGCAGCACTGAGATCCTGTGAGGATTTAAAACTAATGTTTTTAGGTTAAACTAAATGTAATGTTTTTTGAAGTTATCCCTTTCTCCATACTGCTGAGATTCAACTTCTTGAAGTTTGACACTCCTCTCTACCCCCGTCCCCCATAATGATTTCACTAATGTTTGATTCCAACCTACAACCAGCACCGCCCCTAGTTCGGGCTGACGTCACGTGACATATTTGCATACTACCTGGGACTGGGTGTGACGCTCCCCTTTTCTGCATCTTATCATTGGTGGTGCTGGAGAACCAGCCCTCTTCCGGACGAACCAATCAGCGGCCCTTGGGACGTAGGAAAGCAGAAGGGGGCGTTATGAGGGTGGGATCTTGACTTGGATCGCTAGGCGTGCTGACCAATCATCCTCAGGGAAGGGAAGAGTAAGCCGCGGATTGGTTGGGGGGGAGGTCTGGGTCTCCGTAGGCCAATGACAGTTCTGGGCTGAGGGGCCGGTCTCCGCCCCGTAGGGCAGATAAGCAGCGGCAGCGGGGGTTGGGGGGCCGTGTGGTGCTAGCTGTGGGGCCGAGGCGGGTAGTCGGGCGGGCGATGGCGGGGGCCGCAGCAGGCGGCAGAGGCGGAGGTTCCTGGGGGCCAGGGCGCGGAGGGGCCGGGGGGCTCCGGCGGGGCTGCTCTCCTCCAGCCACCGCCGGCTCCCCCCGAGCTGGGCTGCAGCCGCTCAGGGCCACGGTCCCCTTCCAGCTGCAGCAGCCGCACCAGCGCCGGGACGGGGGTGGCCGCGCAGGTGAGCTGGGCCTGGAGCGGGTGCCGGGGGCGGAGCCGTTGGGGGAGGGGGGGCGCGTGACGGGGGGAGGGGGACTGCAAAAAGTGTGAGGGGAAAGTGGATGGGGGCGAGGGATGAGAAAGGGGTCGCTCAAAGTCTGCTAGGGCGGTGGGAGCGAGACGAGGAGCCGCGAACGTCGGGTGCACCGTCGGGACAGAGAGTGCAGGGAGTCGGGGCCCGGAGGTGAGGGGAGGGACCTGGCAGATGGAGGCTGGCTTTGGGGGCGTAACCAAAAAGTGGGCAGAGGTGTCGTGTGGGGGTGAGTGGTAGATGCAGGGGGTGGGAGCGAGGTGTGAGAAGGAGTGGCGCGTGGTGGGGGCGCCCTGCGCGGAGGGCTGGCTCTGGGAGCGAGGAGCCGGTGGGCGCTGGACGCCTGCACCGGAGGGGGAGGGGCATGGAGGAGAGCCCCGTGGAGCCATGTGTTACTTCTCCAGCTTGAGTTTGGCCCCAGCATCCCTCTCTGCAGCTCGGGAGTTCCATTCACCACTTCACGTGCGCTTCCCTTTATGCCACCTCCTGGAGCTGATTTCATCTCAGCCCGTTGGAATAAGTTAGTTTAACGGCTTTTGCCGCGGTGCAAACGCTACGTTCCCGATTCCCTACATTCTTCTCCGTGTGGCCCAGAAGTTGTATGTTCCCAGATCATTGACCTGCTTAATATGGCTGTCTCATTCCAACCATTGCGTGTGTGTATAGGACCTGGGCAGTTTGCCCCCTGCCTTTCCCTCCTCCCCCACCAAGGCTGTTTTATCCTGTGCATTGCCAGCCAACGTGGCAGTGAGGGTGAGGGCTACAATCGAGTACACTGTGGCAAACACCCCACTTTCTGAACAGCACTCGAACGGTTTTTTAATAACAGCTTGATGTGGTGGGTGTGGGGAAACCAGGGAGGAGCAAGCCTAACCTTGCTTTCACACACTCAAAGCTGTGACGGATCCCACAAATGCAAGTACTTAGGAACGGAAAAGGAACCTACTTGCATGAGGAGGCTGGCAATAAGTTGAAAGTGAGGCTTGCATTTGATTCACACCAGATGTGAAAAGATCACTGAACACTTCCACAGCCGGAGTCTCTCCCAAATGTACAAAAGTCATGGTCCCTGCCATCTTAATGGTTAGTGACATTCTCTAAACTGGAGTCCCTTGAGCTTTTGGTGATTACTAAACTTAGTTGCTGCACGTCCACCTCTTGCTGCTACAGTGCTACTATAGGTTCTTGCTTGGTAGAAATGGGATTAAGAGGGTCTCTGAGGTAGAAAACCCCCAAGTCTATCTGGACATCACTGTATATGTTAGCCTCACATCTTGGAACGCAGAAACTTGGTCAAATCTGGCAGCAAGATGGTGACCAAGTAGTCAAAGTATGTGTAGAATCTAGTGGTGTAGAATAAGACAATGCCCAAACTCATGCCTATCATGAGGTATAAAACAAACCACAAGGCTACAAACCTGTTGGTTTTGTTTGGGCTCCCTTGGAACCCAGAGAAGTTAGCAGAACAACAAGCACCAGAACCTTAGTTACTTTCAGTAGAGATCAACAGAAAGCCTGCCTGTGTAGTAGCAAGAAATTGATCAGTAGTCATTAAGAGCAATTATTTGGGGTCTACTATAGAACTAATATTAGAAGGACAAACACTGGTAGATGCTGTGGAAGTGGGGAATGTGGCCTGCTCCTTTTATAGGGCCAGAGGCCATAAGATACTGGTAAACATGTAGAAAGCTAGAGAGTTCTGTATAACTCGTCAGGTGATTTAGGGCAAGTAGGGTGGATTATTGCTTATGGAGTGGGCTGACCGATCATTTCTGCACCGATTAATATCCCAGAGGTGTTAATATGGCATTTGCCTAGGGGGTAGTGGGATTATCTGTAGTTTTTCAGGAAGGCAGGAAAGAGGAAAAGTGGAAGGAAAGTGGCCTCGGTTGTCTGAGCATGTGGCTTTCTTTGTGGCCAAACATAAGTAGAATGTATCTGGCCTTTGGTTTGGGGGCACATCAGATCTTCTACATGTTAACTTCAGCCTTCATGTGTGTTCAGATTATTTCCATTCCTTGGCCTTGGGAAGCAGCAGGGGTGGTTTTCCCTAGGACATAGGATATATGGGCTAGAGGGAAACCCCTTGCAGTCAGGAATCCTTAAGAGAATGGTGCTGGGAGCCAGAATGCCTGGGTTTTAAATCCAGGTTCTGCCATTTACACCTTTGTGTGGCTTTGAGGAAGTTACTTCTGTGCCTCAGTTTCCTCATGTGTGGATAAGAATATCTACATTATAAGAATCCAATGAGTTAATAAAGTGCTTAGAACAGTGCCTGATACATGGAAGGTGCTATAAAAGTGTTTGCTGCTGCTGCTATTATTATTCCCTCCACCTAGCTAAGGTGAGAGCACTGTTGGCCAGAGCCCATTGCCTTTTCAGGCTTCAAAGAACAAATCCAGATTGATCTGAAACCAGTACTGCAGGTTTCAGAATTTCAGGGCCTCCTCTTGCATTTTTATTCCCTCATCTTTTAAAATGAGCTTTCTAAACAGGGCTCTAAAACCCAGCTGTTTAAAAAGGCATGGGAGCTGGGACTGGGTTTCAGGAACAATTAAGTGTCGTCACTGGTTCTCTTGCCCATCTCAAAGTGATGTAACACTGAGGGCTGTGCCGTTATCTGCCCACCACACACCCTGCTATGTTCTTGACAAGATATAGTAGACCTTGTGAAAAGGGTTATGGTGTGAAGAGTGGCATCTATCTTCAGTAACCCTGCATCCATGAGGATGTCTTCATAAAGTGGGGAACAACTTCATTTTTGAGCCTGGGCTCAAGAGAGTGGAGAGAAAAATGAAGGTCAACTATAAGAAAGCTAAGAGCCACTAGTGGGTAGTAGAGGCTGCTAACTTTTATGTTCTTGCAGGACCACTGATGATAGACAAAACAGGACTAGGAGGTGAATTGTTCTGGGTTCCAGTTTTACCCATCCTGTTTAGAGTCTCTGTCTCCACATCTCTAGAATGAAGATAATGTTTAATCAAGCTTTGCAAATTATTTCTCCAGTGGACCAGCCCCACAGGGGCCATCTGAGTACCAAGGAAGCCAGTGCTACCTCGGAACCTCCTCCACCCACCAGAACCTTCTTAAACCAAGGGTTAGCAATTATGGCCTATAGGCCATATCTGGCCTTCTGCCTGTTTTTGTAAATAAAGTTTTATTGGAACATAGCCACACTCTATTTCGATATTATTTATGGCTGCTTTTGTGCTGTCAGTGGCAGATTGAGTAGTTGTGATGGAGACCATGTGGCCTACGAAGCCTAAAATATATACTATATGGCACTTTGAAGTTTGCCTACCTTTGTTTTAAACAATGTGCCTGATCATTATTCCTATAGAAAGATCAGTTTTCAATGTGTGTAATATACACCTCCTCAGAAAATCCTAAGAGAGTAAAGAAAACTAACAAACCTGCATCCCCACTCATGTTTTAGGGAAAAAGAAAAGAGGTCATCTGCTTCCAGTCAGTTCGCAATCTTTGTGGAAGATCATCACGTGTGAATCCAGACTCCCCACCCCCACCATTGTCAGGTGACATGTGTTCAGTAGACATAAGCTAATTTGAATTTACATAAAAGCTTAACTGTTAGGCAAATTTGCTCCCCCTCCTTTCTTATATTCCCCCTTCCCCCAACCTAACAACCCACAAGTACAGTGAATACAGTTCAAAATCAGATAGAAATTACTTTAGGTTCATTTCCTGTTTTGAATTTTTCTCCATTACCTTTTCTTTTTCTGAACAGATCTTTGAGAGCTGGCAGTAGTTATGGTTGCCCTAAAATATTGGCTTCCCCACAGGGACATAGGAAAGATAGTTTATATCAAATGTTGACAAGGTTCCCTGGATGGCTGTTTCATGAATGTAAGACGGCATTGTTATTAGCAATGCTATTGATAATTATTAAACTCACTCCCCTTGCAATGCTTTGAAAACTTAGTCCTTGGGGGATGGGTATTTAGATAGGTCTGGAACCACATAAAGGAGGTTGCATATTAGAGGCTCTGAGAGAAAGTTCTCATCAAACTATGGTCTCTGTGGCCCCTGGTGCCAGAAACAGCCTGGAGATTCCAGCTTTTCTATACCAGAGGAGCCATCTTGCTATAATGAGGCTTGGGGGTACAGTTAAAATCCTTTAAGAACTATAGTTGTCCTAAAACCTGTGAATGAGGCAACTTCTATTTGGGAAACATTAAAACACCAGGCACTTCCTAGCCCAACACTGCTAACTGTTGCTTTGACAGCTCTGCCAGCCCCAGGCACATGGTCAGCAAAATGTACTGCTGAAGCATCTGACTCTTAAATGTTATCACCAGCGATGACATCCTTGAAATTGGGGGCTAGTTGCCTAATTGCTTTATCTCTTTCGTACCCGAAGGAGTATAGGTCCCTGTATTCTTCAGTCTTTTGGCTAGCAAAGGATTATATAGTATGGGAAGATTGTCACTTATGTACCTTAGAGCTAAGAGATCTTAAACCATCCCAGGTCAGTGGAGGAGGAGTAAGAACGACAGTGGGCTGTGGTGGCAAGAGGACATCATTCTCTCTGCTTTCAAATGTAGGTCTATAGAAAATTTGAGGAAGGATTGCAGAATTTTTATAGTGATGGTGCTAATTTGGGTGTCACCAAAGTGGTTGGTGAGATTTAATAGCCAAGAGAACAGCATGCCTGCGTTTTCTGTTGAATTTCGTTTATATGGAATGACATGATAGGCACCAGGGCCTCACTACTCCTTGATCTTAATAGAACTATTAGAAATAGAGTGTCCTCCAGATTCTTATAAAACTCATGTAGAGCTTTCCTGCTGAAGGATTCAGACTTCAGGCTGTATCATATTCTGGGGCAGGTCTGGTTTTGAAATTCTTATTGACACTATCACATATATCAAATGCTATCTGCCACTAGCTCAAGTGCTCTCACTAGACCTACTTGGGCTTATTCTTACTCCAAGGGTGGTTTAGAGCCCTTTTAAGGGGCTAGAGGAGAAAACCTTGTGTTTCTTTTCCCAGTTCAGAGCGAAAGAGGATGCCAGCCAGCAAGTTGCTTTAGTGAGAGTGGACAGTCTCTTCTTGGGTTAATTAAGCTCTGCCGTCTTCTGAGATGGATGTTGCCCTTCTCTGTCACAGAAGAGGGAACAGGGAAGAGCAGAAGCAAAGAAAGGATGGACAGGAAATCTGGCCAATTTTCCCCCATGCCTAAGTTGAATCTTTCCAGAGGGCTCCTGGAATAATTTGGTTTTCAGGGTATGAATGAACAAAATATTAGCCAAATCAATTCGCAGTGTTGGGTCAAAACCAAATCTTGATCTCAGAAAGGAAAGAGTTGTGGATGCTTGAAGTTTATGGTTTATCTGTGCTCCAGTTTTTCTCCAGTCGTGAAAATGGAGCTTGTGAAGGGGCCCTTGTTCTTGGGAACAGCTGTATGGTGGGAGGTTCTCGTAACAGCTGGCTGCTAACACTCAGGCTCCAGCTCACAGTCCCCACCGAACCTCTTGGTCTGGAAAACTCTTCCTGGTACTTTGCTTTCCCCTCAGGGTCACTACAAAGCTGAGTGCCCAGCTTTGCAGTCATTTTAATGCTTATCCTCAGGCTCAAATAAGCCTCACTTGACTTTTACTGTGTGGGAGCACTGTAGCCAATCAAGGGTGGCTTTAATGAACTTAAAAGAATGCTATCAAAGTATTTCATAATAGGAAAACTTCAAGTCCAGCCCCCAGGGGACCTGGAACCAAAGTCTGGGCCATGTACAGACATTTACCCTGCCCTGCTCAGGCGCACAGGTTTGTGGGTTTGCTCATGAGCCCGTGCAGCTGACCTGGGGGTCAATGGCACGCCTTCAGACCAGCCCTGGCCTCGCGTTAGCAGTTCGAGCTCCCAGCTCCCTAATAAAAGGGGTGGAGGTTGTGGGGGAAGCCTGGGAAGACTCCTCCCAGGGTTTTGGTTGCTCTGAAGCAGCTGGCCTATGATTAGGGCTTGAGGAGTTTTCTTTCAGCGGGTGCCTGAATGTGACTTCTTAGAGAATGGACAGTATTTGGTAGGGCAAAGTTGTAAATTTGGGGTGCCTCCTCTCTGACCCCTGAGCTCCCTATCCTGTGAATGGCAGGCTCCTTTGCCAGGGGAGCCATGCTTGTTAGGGGACAACCTCGTCCACCACTGGCTCTGCGCTTGCCTCCCTTATCATTTGATCCTAGATGATGACACGCAGGAGAGCACTGAGGTATCACCTCCTTAAAGGCCAAGGTAGGATTAAATGTACAACTCTAAAAGCAGATCGCTAGCACATCCATATGTGAATAAAATATAAATTGAAGCTGGAGGAGGCATAGAATGAAGGAATATTCAGTATTTGGTGAGGCTACTTAGAGAACTACTGGGATGTTTTGAGTAGACTTTTTTTTTAATCGGCCAATGTATTATTCTCCCTAAGGTTAAATTAAGTTTTTATTTCCTTTTCTCCCTTCCCTTTCAAAAGTGACATTGTTGTAGCCTTGTCTAGTCAGCTATGTTCATTAATTTTCTCAAACCTCATGAGTCCCTCCTGCCCATTTTGGAAATTGTGTGCCTGCCTTTTTAAGAGGTAGGCACCTCATGTTTCAAGTTCAAGAGCAATGGAACTCACCCTGCAGCTTGAACAGATTTGAGTGTTTTTGCAGAGGGAGGGCCAAGGCAGTTGAGGAGTGTCATGCTCAATAAACACTTGTTGGATTGAGTTGCTGGAAAGGCAGTGGAGTGGGGAGAGTGAGCCACACCTCCCCCAGGCTCACTCCTAATGGTCTTTCCCACTTCTGGTCCCCACACGCTGTTCCCCCTCAAGACAAAACCCCCCAAAGTGTTAGTATTCTCTCTTTCTTTAAATCACTGGTCTCCTATTCATCCTGGTCATTGGGCTTGAAGCCCAGCTGGTGGCAAAGACGTGGCATTTCCATGGATGTCATTGGTAGGCCTGTAGGTTCTCTTCCTAACACACTTAGAGCCAGAGGGTGAGCTTGAGTGGTTACCAGGTTGATCCATGGAAACAGCCAATGTGTAGGATTTTGTTATGATTTTGTTAAAAAGCCAGACTACCTGGCTTTAGGCTTAGAAGTGGATACGGGTGAGAGGCCAAGGAGACGGCAGTGAATGCCGGATGTCTTTTCACTCCATGTTGATTTGTACTAACTTCCTAGTAATGTTCTGCTGTATAGCAAGGGGACAAAGGAAAAAAGAAATCTGCATCAGTGACTTTTCTAGGCCAGGGAGCAGAATTATCTGTTGGCCCTAGGGTGGCTTTAGAGGTGCCATCAGGCTGGAAGTCCACTCCTCCCAAGCCAGGCACCATCCTGTGACACCAGGCACTGCTCTTTGTCCTTCTCCCCCAGCGAAATGGGGAAATGCAGGAGAGAGATGCTGATTATCATTCCCCAAGTCCTGGACATTTACCCTGTCATCCAGAGTCTGTGTTCCCTGCCCTTAAGGTTGCCAAGCACGGGGTCTGGTGGCTTAGTGAAAATGGTTTTATTAACCTGCCCGACTAGGTGTAGCTTTGAAGAGTAAAAATGTGATTGGGAGGCTAGGCAGCTTATCCTACCCCTTCTCCCTCCTCCTCTTCCCCACCCCACACTCCCTTCCCTTTAAGAGTTTTCTGTGCTCTGTGCATGTCTGATCGCCCACACAGCTTTGAGAGAACCACTGCTGATAACACGTGCGCTCCCTACCCCACAGCTGCAGGCTGGCAGAAAACTGCCACGCAGCCCCTTTTGGGGGATTGTCTTTTTTAACTCGTGCCCATCAGATATGACATATAAGCCTGGGGTGGGGTTGGAGTGGGGGTGGATGGTTTTTGGCATGGTAGAGGGGATGCACCCAGCGGGCTTTCACAATGTTCCATAGTCTGGATTTCGAGACTGGGGAGAAGAGGGCAATGTGAGCCTCGTCCATGGGGGATGCGCACAACTCAATGCTGAGAGCAGCACCTAGACTTTCCTCACTGGATCTGCAACCTGGGTAGTTATGTGTTCATAGGGGAAGACTAAAATAGCTGCTTCCATAGAAAGAGTGTGACTCCCAACGCTGGAAGGCCCCTCCAATTTATTTATTTATTTATTTATCTTTTTAGTCAGAGTCTCACTCTGTTGCCCGGGCTAGAGTGCTGTGGCTTCAGCCTATCTCACAGCAACCTCAAACTCCTGGGCTCAAATGATCCTTCTGCCTTAGCCTCTTGAGTAGCTGGGACTACAGGCAAGCGCCACCATGCCGGGCTAATTTTTTTTTTTTGTATATATATTTTTTAGTTGTCCAGCTAATTTCTTTCTATTTTTAGTAGAGACGGGGTCTTGCTCTTGTTCTGGCTGGTTTCAAACTCCTGACCTTGAGCGATCCTCCTGCCTTGGCCTCCCAGAGTGCTAGGATTATAGGAGTGAGCCACCACGCCCAACCTAGGCCCCCAAATTTATCTATATTTTTCAGGGAAATTGAGAAAATAGATAGCTTAGTTTTGACAATGTGTTCCATTGTTTAGCTCATTGGTGCTTCTAATCAGAACTTTCAAATATTT